TTTACTCTGTGACCAAAATTAAAATTGACATCGGGTGGCCGCGTGGGTGGGCCAGGATTTCAGGGACGCGACACCGACGGCACCGTTCAGAGCCAAGGCTTGCAGAGCGAAACGTCGGACAACGCGCTCGGGGGGGGGGGGGGGTAGCGCAGCGCAACAGACAAACCGCAGCTGTGAAGTCCCACGGTCAGCGGCGCGCTCGTTTGAACAAGTTGCTCAAATAAATCACCGGAAACCAAAACTATAAGGGGACGACGATTCGGACGAGTTGCAGGAAGGACGATAAGGAGAGAGACAGTCGCGACTGCATCAACGGCTCCCGTCCATTTAAAAAAATCGGCCTGTCGGCCAAAGATCATCTCCGTGCGACGAGCGCGTGACGCCGCGGCAGCGCGACGCGAACGCGCGAGCTCGCAGTGCGACGGGCACGGGAGGAGGCGCCGAGTGTCCACGTCGCAACGTGGCGCGTCCCACCGCCCTGCACACAAACACAGGTGAACCGGCGGCTAGTCGCTCGTCACCAACAGGTGCTTGTGCACAGGCATGTCCACGTACACGTGCACCCCGTGCTCTCTTTTAGCCCCGCCCCCCACCCTTCCGATACGTCATCATGCGCACCAACAGGGACTTGCGCACAAACACGTCCATGTCTACGTGCACCTCGTACTCTCTTTTAGCCCCCCCCCCTCCATTCATTGGCTACCACATTCTGATAAGCTCCCCTCCCCCTCTCCTTCCCACTCAACTTGTATTTAAGAACTTGCATCTTGGAATCCCTGCCTCACTTGATGCAGCAAATCTGGCTGTGACGGTCCCACCTGATGACGGAGACTTGTGTTGCCTCCGAAACGTCGTGATTTTTCATTTTTTTTTTTTATTAATTTTAATTTCATTTTTTACCCACGTGACTTTACCGAAAAAACTAAGAGCATGACGTCTGGGGGGTGTGGTTCGGCCACGTGACGGGCCGCCGACCAAATCACCCGACACATTTGTGGGGGGTGGGAGGGGGGGTCACATGGTCGGTTCGTTCACGTGGGTCGTCCGTGGAAGTTTCGATTTTTTTTCATATCTGCGAAAGCGCCGCCGGGTGGACTAAGTTCCCGCGCCTGGCTCCGTTGCCACGACAGATTTGTTTGTATTTTTTTGTGATCGCATCAAATGAAGTTACCTTCAAAAGTCAGAAGAGAGCCGCCCCCTCCTTCGTTCAGGAGCATCCACACGTCGAACTGCCCCGGAGCGACACGGCATTTGGCCGCCCCCCCCCCCCACCACCCCTTGACTAGACTAGGCCTGAACTAGCCCTTGGCACCGGCTCACTGCAACCACTTGGCTGGCCATCGGACAAAGACGGTGGTGGTGACCGCATCGCTCGGCGCTTTCACATGCGCTTCTGCGGTCGTCTGGAACGCTCTCTTTCCTTTCCGATGTTAGGAAGCGACCGGGAGCTATGAACTTCAACGAATCTGAACGGATCCTCCTCGCCCGATTAAATAAACACCGTCGTGGAACGAGACGGTGACCTTTCATTTATTAAAATGTAAAATAAAAAATATGCAAATCGGAAAAAAGCTGCCACGAACCCTCAATGGCTCTTGCACGGTAAAATAATTGAGATTTTTTTTTCTCAAATAACGAGCGTGGTTAAATTCCGGACGCGAATCACGGAGCCAACGATGAATCCCGACGGCTCGCCCTTTTGGTCTAAAAAAAGAGGAAAAGCTGTCAGCTGACGGGAGATAATGAATGCGAGCGGCTTCTCACTTGATTAACTCAAGGACATCGCGGGAGGTAAAAAACTTCCCGCAAATGGTTCTCTCATTTTGACCGAGGATCCCCCATCGTGAGGATCCGTAAATCTCAGCCGGCTCTCTCATCTTGTAAAAAAAAATAAACAACATTAATAGTAATCATAAAATGTATGACTGTACACGTACCGGAGCCTGCATCCGTGAACCTCGTGCATTAACAATGAACTCTAAAATCCTAAGGATTTAGGTGGCATATAAGCCCTGGCCATTAAATGTAAACATAACTTCAGCTACATTACAGACAACAGGCGAATGGTTATTTTTACAACGAGCTGGTACAAGCTGTCCGATGAATGAGCTACCCCCCTCCCTCCCTCCCTCTCCTTCACAAACCTAATCCTTAACAAAAGCCCACTGCGTAACCCGAGGCCTTGTTTAAAAAAAACTATCCCCACCTCCGCCCAACCCTCAACTGAATATTTTTTCCCCATCGGCAATGCTCGAGAAGAGAGTCAGAGACGTTTTAAAAAAAAAAATAGAGAACTCAATTAGCACAACAGCACAACGACACCCCATCAATGCCACCAGGAAACCCTCGGCCTTTTCAGTTGCGTGAGGGGGGAACATTTAATCCATCTGCCCTATTGGTGCCCAAGCCCTACATGGTCCAGAAGAGTTTGTTGAAGATATCAAGCCGTGTATAAAACTGTCAACTATTTTGCTCGGTTATGTAACATTAACACACCTCTGGTTTTTCGATTTAAAGCTTTCGTGACTGCAGGGATTCATCTTCTTGGTTCTTTCGGTAAAGTCACGTAGAATGGAAATAATAAAATAATAAAAATAAAACATTATGTTTTTTTTATTTGCATTCTACGTGACTTTACCGAAAGAACCAAGAAGATGAACCTCTGGTTTTGCAAAAAAAATAACAAATCAATTGGCAAATTTGCCCCCACCACCGCAAGTAACAACTTGAACCATCGTCATGCGAACTCTGCGGTCATTCTCGCAGCAGCGGCTTTCGGCTGACCGTCGAACAAAGACGACGGCGGTCACCGCATCGCACGGCGCTTTCAGGTGCGCCTCTGCAGCCGTCTGGAACGCTCTCTTCCTCCCGATGTTCGGAAGCCACTGGAGCTATGATGATTGAAAACTCATTTCTTTAATCCTGATTTGTGTGCGTGGTTTGTTGTCCTTCCCCCGCACCTCCGATTAGCACGGTTGGCTACGTACAGTGCCCGAAAGAAATTCACCATACACACACACGCACACAAAATTTGATTCGATTGGCTCTGTCAGATGGAGAAAGGTTATGGTTAAACGGAGGCTATATATCTACGCGATCCAACTCAACGGAAAATAATCACGAATCATAAGCAGGCTTCTTAAACAAATGGTGCCGCAGATGTTATCGGCAAAAGAGCTCTCAATCTAAACGATGAGGCTCAGTTCAGTGGAAGCAAGGAAGCGCAACAACAACACAACAACAAACACCGACACTGTTGACAAACTCATTACTCTTTTGTCCTGGCACATCACATCACCACCACACATCTTGTAACGGTGCAGATGAGTCGGCAATCACCCCACACCCCCCCCTACATCCCCGCCCTGCCCCCCCACACCCCCCCACATACAAACTCGCACGACACGAAGGGAGCCAGCGAGGTTCGCACACGCGGCACTTGCAACCTCCGGTTCCTCTCTCGTCACCAACGGTGGGCAGACGCCTCCACGCGCGTTCGATGAACCACCAGCAGTTCATCAAAGTGTGATTCACAGCGACCCACCGGCAGTTCATCAAAGTGTGATTCACAGCGAACCACCAGCAGTTCATCAAAGTGTGATTCACAGCGACCCACCAGCGGTTCATCAAAGTGTGATTCACAGCGAACCACCAGCGGCTCATCAAAGTGTGATTCACAGCGAACCACCAGCGGTTCATCAAAGTGTGATTCACAGCGAACCACCAGCAGTTCATCAAAGTGTGATTCACAGCGAACCACCAGCGGCTCATCAAAGTGTGATTCACAGCGACCCACCGGCAGTTCATCAAAGTGTGGTTCACAGCAAACCACCAGCGGTTCTTTAAAGTGTGATTCACAGCGAACCACCAGCGGTTCATCAAAGTGTGATTCACAGCGAACCACCGGCAGTTCATCAAAGTGCGGTGAACGGTAACCCACCGGCGGTTCATGTGGTGACCCAAGTGACAACATCGATTTGGTGACCCGAGTTAAGGGTCAACTCTCTTGACCCTTGAGCCACGTGGTCACGCGGCTCGGATAAATGTTTTGTAAACTCAAATAAGAAAACAGATAGCTTATCAAAATCCAAACTCTTGATCCACGTATCTCCCCAAGCCAAAATCTTTTATTTGTCCGCGTGTACAGCAAAAAAAAGAGAGATAGTGCGGCCACGCCGCCCGCTACACTGCCTCGTTGTTTCATGTCGTGCCAAGCCGTGCCAAGTCACAAGACGGCACAACGGGGTTTGGGGCCACGCATCGCTCACGTGACGGGGGCGGGGGAGGAGTCGTCAGCAGAACGAGACTCGGTGCAGGGACACAAAATAATCGTAATCAAAAAAATTTGCACACTTCTGAAGGGCGTGGGAGGCTCTCCCCCCTCCCGGTTGCTGTGCGCCACCACGGCCACGAACTCCAAAACCACGCGGCGGAAAAGAACCTCGCACTGCCACTCAATATACATGTGGAGGTGGGTTAGGGTGTGGCTGTGGTAGGGTGGGTTAGGGTGGGTTGGTGTGGGTGGGCGAGTGGGATGGGTGGGTTAGGGTGTGGGTGGGTTAGGGTGGGTTGGTGTGGGTGGGCGAGTAGGATAGGGGGGGTTAGGGTGTGGGTGGGTGAGTGGGTTAGGGTGGGTTGGTGTGGGTGGGTGAGTGAGTGGATTAGGCTGGGTTAGGGTGTGGGTGGGTGAGTGGGTTAGGGTTGATTGGTGTGGGTGGGTGAGTGGGATAGGCTGGGTTAGGGTGTGGGTGGGCGAGTGGGTTAGGGTGGATTGGTGTGGCTGTACAGGCGGGCAAGTGTACCTGCAATTCTCCACCTCGGACAAACGAATCGATTGGCTAAAAATTGCTTAACGGAATCTCTCCCCGAGTTGCTCCACATTGGCCATACGACATCATCGCCATCAGACTATACACACACACACACATTATTATACACACACACATTATTACTACACACACACAGATTACTACACACGCCACTGGATGCGCACGTCATACCTGCTGGGAGCCATCTCCGGCGGGAATGAGGGGGATCATGGGGACGTCTCCGTTCAGGAGCGAGGGCCCATCGCGGTGGTGCTGCTCACTCATCGCCACCCACCGAGACATTCATCGAGGCCCCCGGCTCTCCTGCACGCACGCAACAAAGACACAGACAAAGGTCCCCCGTGTAGCAAGCACTGCTGCTGTTGTTGGAGAGTGACACCTATGAAGGCCGCCAGCGCCACGGTCGGCCGCACCACGCCGGGTACTCGTTTGAGGCCGAGTCGACCTAGGGGAGGCCCAGAACCGGTTCAGATAATCGTCACCGGTGTTGGCAGCCGCGAGCGGGAATCGAACCCCAAGTGGCAGTGTTCGTTGCGCAGCGCGCCGACCCACTACACGACCGCTCCTGCAAACAGGACAAAGACAAAGATCCCCCGTGTAGCCTTAACAGACTGTTGGGGCAAGTGCTGTTAGCGAGCACCTATAAAGGCCGGAACGGCACACGAGGGGGTGGGTGGCCAGCACCACGCCCCGGCCGCATTTGGCTCCCCAGTGCTCATTGAAAGCTGAACCTGACCTGGGCTATAGACACATTAGATTGGTGACACACATGTATTACTTAAAAAAAATATTGCTGGACATCACGAGCCGATAATCGGTATTTTTAGCGAGAATCTATGGGGTAGGGGGTGGGGGGCGGGGTGGGGAGAGAGGTGGGAAACCGGGCCTCTCGCGCTCCCAAGAACGATCGCTTAAGCGCGCTTCATGAATTTTAATTATTATTAATCTCATTCCATCCCATTGTGGATGGAGATGCCCCGGTTGCCCACCTTCATTGCGCCCCACGCAAAAATAAAAACGCATTATTGAACCACGAACACGTTGGTCGGTGTGAAGCCCTACGTCATGTCAAAATCTAAATTCGGTTGAGGTTTTTGAAATAAAAGCAACGACATTTATGTCGACAGTACATCTGTAATAAATAAAAACGCATTATTGAACCACGAACACGTTGGTCGGTGTGAAGCCCTACGTCATGTCAAAATCTAAATTCGGTTGAGGTTTTTGAAATAAAAGCAACGACATTTATGTCGACAGTACATCTGTAATATGCTCACATTGTATTTACAAAGGTGCGTGTTTGCGGGAGGGGCATTGCCCCACCGTGTTCCATGGAATTGTTCCACCCCCCTCCCTCCCCCACCCGCAAATCCCCAACACCTTTGCGCGTGAATTGTCACGACAAGTGGCAGCCGGAACAACGACACGGAGCTCCGAGTGCCTACCCCCCCCCCCCCCCACTGCTGCCCCCACTGCCCCCCTCCCACCGCCACCCCCCTGCCCCCCCCTCCCACCGCCACCCCCTGCCCCCCCCCCCACCGCCACCCCCTGCCCCCCTCCCACCGCCACCCCCTGCCCCCCTCCCACCGCCACCCCCTGCCCCCCCCTCCCACCGCCACCCCCTGCCCCCCACTCCCACCGCCACTCCCCCGACCCATTAACAACAGCCACTCGAGGAACAAGCGTGGCTTGATTTAGGGGCACCACCGCGTGTGAACCCAGACTCCCATGGGAAGAGTCAACACAGCCACGGCGGGGGCCGGCGGCGGGGGGGGGGGGGCTAACCCCCCACTCCTCCAACGACGTCACCGTGGGTGCATCTTGGTGCGGGCGCCTTCGGTTTGGAGTTTGGTGGATCGCGGCGTTGCCAGACGCGCGTTTAGAAGAGGTGGCGATGCCGTCTTGGTGACGACGGGCAGAGCGGGAGAGGAAGTCTAACGCGTCGGGCTTTCACCACCAATATCAGCCACGATACAGGTGTGTTTTTATATTATCAGGCATAACAACTTTGATAATTGTTTTTTTAACCCTTCTATCTGGCAACAAAACTGACACCTTTTTTTACAAGGAATCATGTTTGCATAGACCACAATACCTGCAGTCATAATGCAAACAAAAAACATAACTCTGATAATGTATGCACTGTCCTTGAAGTTGATTGGTCCACACCCGAGACAGCTTTCCTTAGAGCCTAGTCTCACATGGTGTTGGACCAGATGACGCCAAAAGGCGCACAACTCAAAGACAATGCACCATCAGAGTATGAGAGCTCAGGGTAAGCATTTACACCATTGGAACCTCATTTGCCAGTAAAAATTTTAAATGTGTCGTAACCCTCCACCACCCGACACGGCCAATCAGTAAAAAAAAAAGTGTCACGTTGACAAAAGACAAATAGTTCACTGCTTTAGCCCACCGGTGTGTTGAAGCGTGAAACCACAACAATTTACAATTTGAGTACGAAGTTTCGCTGGTAATTGCATCCAGCATCATCGGGCAATTCGCCAAAAACGTTGATTATGAATAATATTGGTCGCGAAAGCCTACGTGTTAAACTCGCAAAGCCACAGCATGCGACCCGTGGCCTTGCAACCCCAAGCTGTGGGGCCGTGTGGTGTCAACCCAGCGTAGTCCACGCTCCTTCAACACCGGAGGAGTCGCGAAACCACTCAAACTCTCGCTCGCTCTCTCTCGCTCTCTATCCTGAAGCCCCCTCGTCACAGCCATAATCAACCATAATCACCGCTTGCCGCCGCCGCCGCCACCGCCATCGCGGGCAGCAACGGAATTAAATATCTTTTATAAATCGCGAGCTGCACGCAGTAACAGAGCCGCGACCGTCGACTCGCACGGATGCCCTCCCTGGGGGGGGGGGGGGGTGGGTAAGAGATTCTAAACTCGCCATGCATTGCTCGGTGAATCCCAGTGGCTTGAGCGTTGCAATTTAATTGAATTATTGATTCTTTTTTTCTCGTTTTTGTATTGCTATTTCTCGTGTTTCTATTGTTGCTCATCGTGTTTGTATTGTTGTTTATGGTTTGCTTTGTTGTTTCTCGTTTGCATTGTTGTTCCTCGGTTTTTCTTCCACCTCACCTGTACAAGTTTAGTTCGCCCCATTAACTCACTTGTTACGCAATCGCCCACGTGGCGATTGTGTTTTTTACAAACGGCAATTAACGGAGCGCGAGACAAACCCACCGAGACAAACCCACCGAGACGTAGACGCGTCTCTTCACCAAGAAAAACCCGAAACAACGACAAAAAAGGGGCAAAAAAACCACAACGAAGTATAATCACGAAATAATTTTGGTACGACAAGAAAATGAATGAATCGACGCGACTGCAACGATGGTGAAGTAATAGGACCGCACCGGTTACGAGGCCGGGGCGTTCGATGACGCAGGATGCACAAAACGCGGTGTCGCACCCGAGGAGAGGCAGCGCGCGTGAGGATTCATTTGTCCCGACCCTACAGCAGAGGTCGCAAACGGGTTTTGATTCCTTACCCGTACCCGGCCACACCAGGGTCGCAAACGGGTACCCGTACCCGGTCGTACCCGTACCCTACCCCCGTACCCAGCCGGGTACGGGTATCGGGTACATGATTGCGACCTCTGGGATGAAGCCATGTTATAGGCGCGGGTGGGGTGATTCTAGGAACTTGAATTGTGAAGAGACAAGACGTTGGGAAATGAGTGACAAACAGTTACTCACCAGTGACTCACGGTCTACCCGTACCTGTACCCGGCCGCACCAGGGTCGCAAACGGTACCCGTACCCGGTCGGGTAGGGTACGGGTATCGGGTACCCGGTTTCGACCTCTGCCCTACAGCGGAATTGCGTACACCATGGAATGAGCCGCTATCGCCACTTTTTGTGCGTTCTCTTTCGGCTGGAAGAGGCTGGCTCCCCCCGCTACGTCCGAATCCTTAAACCTTCAATCGTTTACATCCCTCGGTCGATCCAGGTCGTATCGGGCCGCGCGGGGGCGAGGGGGGGGGGGGGTGTTCGACCATACTTCACCATGCGTGGCCATTGCCGATGGGGAGGGGCGGTGATGGCGTTGGGAACACGTTGGCGGCCCGCTCACGGACCGCCAACACCGTCGGCGATTATCCGAAACGGCCTTGGGACTCCCCCTAGGTCGACTCGGCCTCAAAATCGAGCACCCGGTGCGAAGCGCGAACGTCGCTGGGGGCGCGGCGCTGGCCGCCCACCGCCTCGTGCGCCGCAGGACTCGCCTTCACAAGGCGCTAGCGCCTAACAGCCCTTGCTCCAACAGCCTGTTAAAGGCTGTACGGGGGATCTTTGTCTTTGCTTGGTAGGGGGGGGGCAACGTGATTGGAAGAAAAAAAAACGCCGGTTGCTGGCGACGGAGGCAGCGGATTAAATTGGGGGGGGGGGGGGGGGAGGTGTGCGGGGGGTGGGGAGGAGGGGGGGGCCCACACTTAGGCAATGATGTAATTAAGTCTCGGAGAACGCCAGTCAGACGGAGACCTTCAAACAATCGACTGTGGCGCAGAGTGGCAGTCCCTGCCCGCCCCGCCGACCACCCCCGTAGCGCCTCAACGACTCTTGGCTCAGACGAGAGGTGGGGGGGGCCTCCTGGGGGGGGGGGCCCTCCTGGGGGGGGGGGCCCTCCCGGCCCTCCCGGCCCTCCCTCCGAGGCCACGGGGAACTGCGGGCGGCTACCGTCGGCACATTTAGCTCGTAGGCCGAACTCAACAAACTATTTCCCCGGCTGTTGATGGCAACGTAAAACGGCGAACCACTCCCGTCGACTTGCCGCACGTTCGACGCTGCGCCGTCGCTCATCGGCAACTTTGCGTAGAACTCAGCCGAGGCGTCACTCCCCCGCCGGCGGTTGCCGCCACGCGTGAATTTGGCGTTCCCGGCGTGCGCGCCCGTCGCTCCGTCGACGGCGTTTGAACGTCGCCTGCGCAAAAAATCTGCGACGTGCCAACCGTCGCTCTCGTCCCCGCACTTTAACCCCCCCCTCCCCAACACATTTGTCCACCCAGCAGGAGCCAACCGTGCGAATCCGCACGTCCGATTAGCACGGTTGGCCAAGTACGGTGCGGAAGAATTTCAACGTACGTACATCACCATCACGTCCGATCGGCACAGCCGGCTACGTACGGTGCGAAAGAAGTTCAACGCACGTGCGTACAAGAACATGGCAGCACAGGCGGGAGGAGATGGAGGGGGGGCGGGTGTTGGGGAGATGCTTTCCAAGAAAAACCTTTCTCCCTGCGTTCACCTGAAACGCACGCGCGGGGACAACGCGCCAATTGTTACCGGCA